TTTTACCTTAAAGATGTGGGGTACAATTCAGGGTTTGGTATACAAATGTTCATTATGTGGGTACCCTTGTTGATGGGCTGTGCCCCCTAAGATCTTTCTTACAGCATACAAGCATACAACCTATGTAGCTTAATCTCCCCCCTTCTCTTCACTCCCCACTCTGCTACAACCACACCGAGTTCTTCCCCCAAATAGTCTATGCTGTCCCATTTCTGGGTCTGAAAATATCCTCCCAGTCACATGCCTCTGCCCCACTTCCTATCACCAATTGCCAAGTCTCGGCTTAAACATCACTCTTCCCTGGAAGCATGTCTGACCCTCAGATCTGACTACCCGTTTGCCCATGGCTCCTTGGGCTTATTCTATGTCATTATCCCCACACGGTATTGAAGTTGTCTATTGACTTGGCTCTATATTGAATCAGGTCTTTAAGAATGGGAACTACATCCCATTGAGCTACACTTCACTTTTTAGGCCAAAGTCTGGTAGATAGTAGACACTTAATATAAATTTGAGCTTTTTAGCTTTTGTTTTAAGTTACCAAATGCTTATGGGTCAGCTAAGGAATTTTTTGCCTTTCAAGAAAGAAACCAAGAGGAGTTAGACTCTCCAGCTGGCAGGGGGAGGTAGTGAGTCAGGTAGTCATAGTCACAGAGACTTGGAGACAGAATTATGGTGTCATAGAGGCTTAGAATCTCAAAGACTTGGCACTAGACAGGAAGGGAACCATTAAGCAGTCATGGATTCACTAAGCTGCTGAGGAGGATCGATCATATCTGCATGGACCAGCCAAGGGAAAGGAGTTACCAGGAGAAGTCAAGCATTGAATTCGTGAATTGAGGAGTGCGTAACCAGACCAGGTAACAGAGAAACACTGTCTTTTGGGTTCTCCCTTCACTGTTTGTCCATGTGTTCATTCATTCATGATGCCTTTACTTACTGAAGCCTATGTCATGTCATGCAGCACGTTAGAAGAGAGAACAGTCACAAGCAAGGTAGAAGATGCCTATGCTCAGATACTAACAGACCAGAGAAGTCACACAAGTAGGGAGAAAACAACCACTATAAAAGCATAATGAGAAGTACAGGGAGCTTGCAGAAAGCATAGGAAGCTGGAACTGATAGGTTTAGGATGCTTTCCTCAAGGGAGTGATGTTTAAGTGGAGAGTTCAGGTTTTAATGATAATTTAGTGAGGATGTGGGACAGAGACCAGGGAAGAGAGTTTTAAGCTAGGGAAGAGCATGTTCAAAGATTCATATGTGGAGCATAGAAGATTCCAGTCTGGAGCACAAGAGAACAGTGGCTGGAGGTGAGGCTGGGCTGGTGGGCAGAGGTCAAAAAGAGGGTGCCTTGCCAGGACCTTAGTGGATCTGGCTTCAGCTCTGTATTAATTCTCACCAAACAGAACAATAAGAAGACCTAGGAAGATGCCTTGGCTTTGTGTCATGGGTGTTATGGCGTGATCTGGCAGGTCTAGGGCAGATTGTGTGGAAGAAGGGGCGTGGGGCTTGGGAAGTATCTTGTCCTAAAGTGAAGGAACTATCTTGCAGTTGTCAGGGTGGTCCAGGGTCAGGTTTGTTGGACAGGAGCCAAAGTTCTGAAGGTGGGAGGGTTTGGGTAGGTTAACTATTCCTGGATTCAATGGGGAGTATCTGTAGGAGCCCAGTGACTAGGGATGCCTCCCGATGAAGGAGCCACAGACACTGTTCACCAGGCAGCAGGGAGACAGTGGGGACCATGCTGGCTCAGGGGTGTGGGACCTGTGTCCAGGGTGGTGAGACTGCAGAGGGCATTGGCGTTGACATTGTCCTTTCTGTGCTGCAGTGTGCACAACTGATTTTTAAACTGTTCTCCGTCTCTGTCACGACACAACCTCCACATTTGGGAGCTTGTCCTGGGATCCAACCCCAGGGGTACATGCTTAGAGGGGATATCTGTGGAAGCAGAAAGGTGAGTCCCTGGGTGGAGGCTCCAGGTGCCCTCTGAGGCCTCTACACCCTCTAATTGCTGGAATGAGATTGCTTCTGTAGAAACAGCCCAGCCCAGACTTGGAAGAATGGATCCTAACAAGTGAACTTCCAACAGACTAAGAGATTCTGTCAATTCAGGGCACTGGCCTTCAGGATAGAAAAGGGTAAACTAAAGACATAGATTCAGTGATAGAGGGACAGAGAGAAGAAATAGTACAGGTGGCAAAAACAAACACAGAAAAACAACAGAATATCAAAACAGAAGAGGCCTGGTCTTCTCTGTCCCGTCTCACTACCTGGTCTTAGGTCTGGTCCCTGAGAGAAGAGATTCAACAAGGTGACAGAGATAAATACTAGGCTCCCTGCACTCACATCCACACACCCAAACTCATCCTTGTGCAGCTGCAAGGGCACCCAAGCATTAGCACACAAGCACACAAACATAGTTCCTCTGTCGAGCACCTCTGTGCACTGCAAAGGGCACCCATGGCCCTGCACTCTCTTTCCTCTTCCCTGTCTTTATGCTGGTATATCTCTGGCCTCCTTCCATTTTCTGGATGCCTCCCATTACTCAGTCTCTGTTATTTCTGTTCACTCCCAGGCAAATCAGAGCATCGCGGAGCAGATCTCTGCCACCTCACTGAGCCTCTCGCAGCTTCTTTTGACCTGGAAAGAGCAAGTATGTGATTTTTTCCCTACCTCTATCTCTTAGAATTCCTGCTCCAGTGTCTCCCACTTAAAATGGAAGCAGGTGTCTTTTCCTGAAAGACAGAATGAATCCTGGAATAACTGGCAGGCATGGAGTCATGAGTGAATCTTAGCCAAGTCACTTTTCCACTTTCAGGTGGGAACTGCCCCTGATCCAGTTGAGGCCACACCCACACAGCAAGAGGCTTGGGAGCATGAAGGGTTTAGACCAGATGGCTGGGCCTTGAGGTGACCCTTCCTTCCCAAATGTCTCTCACTGCTGGTGTGCTAGTCCAAGAGATTCTAACACAAGCACTGTGGATGTTGGCACCAGCCTGCCCTTGAGACAGCATCAGGGAGCACAGTACAGCCTCCTTAGGCACATGCCCGTAGCTTCCTTTCCACAGAGAAACCCAGAGATGAGGCCCTGACAGTTCAGAAAGTACAAGTGGAGAGAGGCCAAGCTGGGCTGGGCCACAACTTGTCAGTTGGAAAAGTTACTGTCGCCAGTGTGCGGAGTTGTAAGCCACACCTGGCTCAATGGGGCCTAGTTTATACAACATGAACTGGATTTAGGTGAATCCCCAGATGAAGGTTTGAGTCTGAAAGCCTGTCACTCACCGATCAGGACAGCCAAGGCTCTGGGTCTTTTGCTATTGGTTCAACAGCAAAGTAGGTCATCTGACCCACACCCTTTAGTAATCACCTAACTGGAGAATCCAGCACACATTCAGGGAAGGATGACATAGATCTTTGTCCTACTGAGGTAAGACTTGGGAAGTCTTTGTTTGAGGAGGGATTTGTAGTTCCTGTCCCCAGGGATGCCTCTATCTGCAGGGCACAGAAAGGAACAAAACAAAAAGACAAGAGATGTGGCTTTCTAAGCATCAGGTAGATAGTGTTTGGAGCAAAGCTGGCAAAGTTCTTCCTCCCTTATACCTGTGCTTATGCATGGACACATGAACACACAGACACACATATACACAGGCATATGTGTGCTTAGTGGAAAGTCCACAGTTTTAAAAACTAGTTGGGGCCAGAGGCTTTTCTCATAGTCCTGTGGGTGCCAGAGGCAGGAAAGTGGTTGCAACTTCACCTCAGCGTTTGTCACTCCGAGTCCCACACCCATCCTCCCCCACCCAGTGACAGGGCTCTGACAGGCCTGGCACCTCCCTGACATGGGATACCTTGTAGGCTGAGTTCCCAACAGGGTACAGGCTCATTTTCCCTCCTTCCACATCTCCCCTAAGGCTAGGTACTCAATGCCTGCTGACTCCTGGCCGCTTCTAGACCCTGTCTTGCTCTGGGACCACAACAGTGAGATTCGTCTTTTCATCCACTTGCCATAGAAGGAACAAGGCAGGAACCTTATAGGGGCTGCCCCGGAGCTGAATACTGAGGCCTAGGCCTACGGACCTTCCGAGGAGAACTTGGATTTCCTGGGCAGGAGGATAGTGGGTTGATAGAAGCAAAAAAAGAGTTGTTTTGCTTTTTCTTACTCCCAGAAGAATTAGTAACTTATAAAACTGCTGAATGGTGAGTTTGAGGGTATCTACAAGGTCCAATTCCCTCCTCTTCATCCCTGCCACTGCCCTTTTATAGAAGGAGAAATAGAAGCTCAGAGAGGAGAAGAGAGTTATAAAACCAGGCCTGAAATTCAGTTCCTGGAATGCCAAGAACAATGTTCTTTCGGTTCCATCTTGCTGTAACTACCTAGCAGCAGCTGACCTCTCATGTGCTTGGTGCATGGTGTGACATAACGCATTCAGAAAAGATGTGATGGTTAGTCACCTTAAGTGCAAGAATTCCATTGCACCTGGGTCCGTGGGCCAAATCAGAGACCAGAACAAACATGCTCTGGGGTGGGATGGGACCTGGTTTGCATACCCTTACAAGCAACCAAAATAGATCTCTGAACTTTAGTTGTCCTCCTATGCAAAGCAGGGTAAAAATGCCTACTTAGACTGGTAGCAATCATTACATGAGATAATGTTTGTGAAGTGCCTGACACTTGACTCAGGATCTAGTTGCTGAGGGTCAGACACACTGCTCCTCATTAGGTAAGAGCCCTAAAGTAAACTTCTGGTTTTTCAATTCCTTATCTGGGAAATGGTTACCTAGTAAGGAACAAATATATTAGCTTATGCAAAGGTAGAGTCATGGGACTGGCTGGGCCTTCTGAGGGGTGCAGCCCTGCTTTCCCAACCCTGGTCTTGGGTCATTACCATGAAAATGGATGTATTTTGGAGATCAAACAAGGAGGAAATGAAGGCAGACACTCAGCTTTCCTTCTGATGAGGCATTCTTCTATTCTTTTTCTAGGACCTCCAAGTTGCCGAAAGATGTCTGATCAGTCAAAATGCAACCCATGTTGCCCATCAAAGTGCAACCCATGCTGCCCATCAAAATGCAACCCATGCAGCCCACCAAAATGCAACCCATGCAGCCCACCAAAATGCAACCCATGCAGCCCACCAAAATGCAATCCATGCTGTCCATCAAAATGCAACCAGTGCTGCCCATCAAAATGCAATCAATGCTGCATTCAGGCCAGGTGCTGCTGTTTGGAGGCCAAGCCTGAGTCCACATCCCTTAGTAAGGACTCTGCACCCAGTTCACCCCAAACTCAGAACAAAGACTCTCAAGCCCAGGAGCAACCCCAAAGTCCTCAAAGGGGACCTAAGTCAGGCCTGTTGGGGCAGAAGAGATCAAACTAGTAAATAGTCCCTGGGGCCATGTCATCACTTTTTTGGGTGGGGGATTACTGAGGGTTAGGCTAGACCTCTGTTTAGAAAAGCTGTTTTCTCGTTGACTACTATTTCTACCCAGCCAGAAGCCCCTATTTCCACTCATAGCCCTAGGGATGTTCTCATCTGGAAATGGATGGTTCAAGAGGCTATAATGGTCTTTCCTAGTGAGCCTGACATTTAGACAGCACAGAAATAAAAGAGCAATAAAAAGAACATTGCCTCTCTCTATCCCTTTATTTATAGCCTGTGAAGCCATCTCACCAGCCTGGCTTAAAGCCCAAGAAAATATTCTGGGCATGTCCTGAAGAACCAAGGAGCCAGAAAACTAGAGTCCTGGAAAATAAGGTCTCTGTTGGGTTAGAGTATGGGTGTCTGACTCATCTTGGTTTTAAAACAAAAGGTCTGCATTCCAAGAACCCCTTCAGACCCAGGCAAAGGGAGATGGTTGGTCACCCAAAGTGCAAGAATCCCAAGGCTAGATTGCTGGGTACCACACTGGACTCCAGACCAAGCAAGAACACACAAGTACCCTGAAGTGATTCTGCCTCACACTTCCATCCCAGGGGTAGATCTCCCAGGACTCAGCAAAGGACTGGAAGCAGGCAGCAACATCTTCTAGCATCAGTGTTGGCTCTGAAGTCAGAGAGTAGCAGTCCCAGAGCAAGTGGGTTAATCTCTCTGAGGCTCTGTTTCACATGTGTCAAACAAGGATAATGGTACTTACCACAAAGGGTTTCTATGAGAATTTAAATGGTTGATTCATTTAAAGTGCTTAACCTAAGAATCTGGCACCTAGTGACTATCCAATACATAGTTCTTTTCAAACATCTCTGCCACCAGACCCTGTTTTTCTACAAACCTACATGCTCCAGTAATTTGTCCCCAAGCAAACTCCCATCAGGCAGGAAGAAAAATCAGCCTCATGCAGCATACTTATACACTTTAGTTTTTAGTGCTTTTGTGATGCATAATTCACACATGACTTCTATAAATTTTTCTAGTGTCCTCTTTATTCCTTCATGCCTCTCCCTGCCCACCAATCCTTAGAAAACAACTGGTCTACTTTGGTCCCTATAAATTAGTTTGTTTTCCAGAATTTTATGTAAGTGGAATCACATCGTATATACTCTTTTTTTTTAATGTTGAGGATTTATTTTTCTTTTTTTTTCTCTCTACTTATTTATGTCCCATCTTTATTAAGGTATAATTGACAAAACTTGTATCATTTGAAGTGTACAATGTGATGGTTTGATACACACATGAGAGGGGACCCCAAAAAACCCATAATTTATTAAAAATTGTGTATTTATTCTTACATGTTTAAACTTCAGTCACCTTCAAAGTACTCTCTGTTTTTTTTTTTATTTGTGTATTCGTTAATTTCTTTTTTTTATATAACCAATATTTTTTATGATATCATGGGGTACAGTTAAGGGTTAGGAGGATTTATTTTTCAAAACATCTCTCCTTCACACCCTAAAGCTCACATGTATAAAGCAGCCCAAAACCGCAATTTCTATGTTGAGAGCATCTAGGATCTATAGAAATCATTTTCAATTATTTGTAATTTCAAAATAGAGATCCTCTAGCAACAGTGCACCAGTAGCATGCAAAATATTCCTCAACTTTGTTTAGTTTGTGGGGGAAAATTCTTTAAATTGGAACTGTTTTGTAGTCCTATAAAAATTACATTGGGATTAGTTTTGTTGTTGTTTGTTTTGTTGCCCCCACCCCCACCTCCAGGAGGCAGCTATTTCTCCAAAAGTTTTGGTAAAAGTTAAGGTTCAGATTTCAAAATGTAAACAGATGTTCATGGGCCACTCCATTTCTGTTTCAGGATTGTGGAGAATCTGAATTATTTGGGATTGCAACGCTGTAAAGGGCCAAACCCCATTCCTTGGGTGTAAACTTTCAAGAGAATTGGGGCAGCACACTTTAGGAGTTTCTCAAAGTGGTTGGCAACCTGCAAGGTCAGGGTGTTGGGAGAGTGTACCCGGATGGGAGAAGCCTTGAGATGTCTTAGCTCTGCCTCAGGGAACATCCTGAAAGTTTCCAGGTGTCTCCATCTAGCTGGTCCCCAAGGGGAACTCATGGTTGCTACAGTACGTAGAGGGTGGTTGCCTTTCGAAGCATGGACTGCAGAATGACCTTGGTGAAGGCGGACGGTGGGTTCCCTGGACACTCTGCTCTGAGATCCTCCCCTGACTGCTTCACCCAAGGGACGGGACTGGTGGCCCTGCTTTGATCTCCACCCTCCCCTCTGCACCAGTCTCCAATCTGGTGTCAACCCAATGTCGTTGGTCAAAGTGCGTGTGGGCCTCTCAGCCATACTCAGGCCCATTGGGGGTGAGGCAAGATCTTGGCAGAGCTGGGCTTGGGGATCTGCGTCCTATGCTAGGACTGCAGAGGGGAGGTCTTTCATCTCCTCTCTCCTTCTGGAGTGTAAGCAAATACAGTGATTACCCCTCCCTCTGTGAAAGGAAGGTAGGAAGACCCTGCCTGGTCTGGAGACTCCAACATTCACCACCTCCCCACCCTGGTCCCACTTCCCAAGGTCTCCCTGAGCCTCCACTTCAGGCGGTCATGTTGGTCGGTCACCCCTGCTGGGATGCTGTCACTACAAGGCAAGCCCCTCCTCCACCACCTCTCTCCCAAACCATTGTGCATTATTTTATGCCTGGTTCCTTTTACTCTGCTGAATCATGCTGAGCATCAAACATGTTTTTGCGTGTATCGATTGTTTATTCTTTTCCACTGCTAAATAGTAAATACCTTCATTATTAAGGATATACTACTTTTGTTTATCCATTAATCCCTTGAGGGACATATGGATTTTTTCCAATTTTGGGCTACTATAAATTAAGCTACTGTGAACATTCATGCATAGATCTTTGTGTGAATACATGTCCTTCTTTTGAGTAAAAACCTAAGAGTAGAATGGCTATATTATACAGTAGGTGTATGTTTTACTTTTTATGATTCGGTCCAACTGTTTTCTAAAATAATTGTGCCATTTTACGTTCCCATGAGAAGTGTAGGAGAGCTCTAATTGTTGCACATCTGTTTTTTAATTATCTGTTTAAATATTCCCTCCATCTTTCATTGAGCTTTTTGGTTTCTTATTACTGAATTTTTAGAGCATATATACACACATATATGTTCTTGATACAAGTTCTTTATCATATAAATAAATTAACATATTTTCCCCAAACCATGGCTTTTCATTTTATTCTCTTAACACATTTTTTTAAATAGTAGGAGTTTTTAAAATTGATAAAGTTCAATTAGCTGTTTTCTTTTGTTGATCTCGCTTTTTAATGTAATATCTAAGAAATCTTTGCCTAATTCTAGGACACAAAGATTTAATTCTACCTTTTCTTCTAGAAGTTAATTTTCATACTAGCATACCTCAGAAATATTGGGGGCTTGGTTCCCCTGCAGTAAAATGAGTATCTCAATAAAGCAAGGCATATGGAATTTTTTGGTTTCCCAGTGCATATGAAGGTTATATTTACACTATAGTGTAGTCTATTAAGTATGCAATAATGTTATGGTTTTAAAAAAATGTATACACCTTAATTTAAAATACTTTATTGCTAGAAAATGCCAATGATCATCTGAGCCTTCAGCAAGTGATAATCTTTTTGTTTGTGGAGGATCTTGCCTCTGTTTATGGCTGTTGACTGATTAGGGTGGTGGTTAAAAGTCAGGGTAACTGTGGCAATTTTTTTAAATGAGACAAAAATAAAATTTGCTGCATTGATGGACTCTTCCTTTTATGAAAAACTTCTCTGTAGCATGCAATGCTGTTTGATAGCATTTTACCCACAGTAGAACTTCCTTCAATACTAGACTCAATTCTCTCAAAATTTGCCATTCCTTTATCAACCAAGTGTTGGGAGCCGGCCACGGAGGCCCACTAGGCGTTAGGGATCAGGGAGGGCTGTGGACCCCGAGACCGCTAGGATGTGTTCGGGAGCCGTTGACCCCATTTTCCTCCTCCTTTTACCATGCAGCACAAGCAACCTAAAGGAACTCTGCTGGCCTAAGCTGAAGGCTCTGTGACTGTGACAGGCATGGCTCACTCAGAAACCCATTGTTCCTGTTTCTCATAAGCTGTGGTTTTGGCTTAGGTATTAGATATAATTCAAACTCAGGTCACATTTGGGAGCCTTTTATATGGTACAAGCCTCTTTATAAGACATAAAAGTATATTTGTAGAATTAGTGTATACTTACGGAGAGCTGTTTTCAGCTTTTCAATGGTATAGATGACTATCTAGAGTTATCAGAAATGGCCCAGCACAAAGTTTGGGCTGGGCCACATTCCTGAGGGCCCAGCGTGTTCTTTGGACTGGGCTGCATTCTTTTAGGCCGGATTTACCTACAGTTAGTGTAGGGTTTTTCTACCTATTATAGAAATTGAATTTATTTTATTCATAGAAAGTATTGTAGAATAGGTCATACTAACATAAGGGAATCATGTTAGTTCAAGCATGATCAATCATGATATTTTGAGGTTTAATATGAATATAGTTAACTTTAGAAATTTCATTGTCTCCATTTTCTACTATTGTGGTTTTGGCCTTAGTACATTTACAGTTTATATTTGGGTTTTATTTTTAGAAGCTTTGTTGCTGATGATCAGCTTTATATATTAGGATCAGGAATTAGAAAATTTCATAGAAGTTAGGATGGAAATATAGGACTTTAGAAGAGCCATTTTGTTAAGAGATTGTAGTCTATTGTTCCAAAAAGTGGCCCACCGTGAACCTTGGACTGGGCCATCCTATAGAGCCCAGCGTAATCTTTGGACTGGGCCACATTCTTTGGGAATTGGTTTAAGCTATAATTAAGAGCTTCCATAACATTGTGTAGGTAGTATTAACATAGAATAGAAAGGTAATAAAGTTTAAGTTAGTCATCATGGGTATTGAGTGAGCTTTAGAAGTTATTGATTATCAGAAC